AACGACGGAATCAAAGGCTTGGTGAAATCAAGAAGGATTAAGATAGTAACTTTCTGTTGGTCCATTGTGGTGTGAAGGCCACTAGTAATTTTGACTAGGGCAAACTGTGTGGAGAAACTATTTGCGGGGGGGGCAGGATTGGAGGGGTTAAAAGATTGGAATATACTAGTGGTTGGAGACTTGGATATGAACTGACCTCTCAAGGGGTTTGGAAAGATTGAATAGGATAGATATAAGGCGGTTATTATAATGCATTAGCTTGAGTAACAATAAGGTTAGGTGTGTAAAACAGTACCTTACAAAGAAATAAAGATTTAAGAATAACTCTTGTGAACACAAAACATTCAGAATATGTCCGTAATTTAGGTTTGTATAGGTAGTTTCATTAAGTACATAAAATAGAGCATGAAGGATTTTTCTTAGAATCAACTTTCAATTTTAAAATAAGATCATTTATGTTCCGTTAAGGTTTTCTTACACTTGTATAGTACTTTATTTTGTTTTTATTGTATTTATTTTTAATATTTTTTTTTATAAACGGCTTTAGTTTGGCAATATTAGCCAGAGCTCATAATGGAAGGAGGGAGAAAAAGTGGGTGGTGGAATCGAACCCACGACCTCGGGGTCGACAAGCCGATAATATAACACGCTGGCCATTAGGCTACCGCGGTCCTCATAGATCTTGTTTTAGGATATAATAAAAATTATATGTGATAAATACAAAACCAATTCTAATGGGGTCTGTGGGGGTGATGGACATTTGCTTTCACTATCTTCGCCGTTTTTAATTTTCTCGTCATCTTTAGAGGTGGGTGGAAAGCTGAAACAATTGTAGGCATACAAAGTGATCTGAAACGGTCAACTATAAAAACAAAATATAAACACTGTGACTTCAATCAGTAATTTTATTTTTGTCTATGGTCTATGTTAATAGTTTTGTTGTATTAATTATGATAAAATCGTTCATTGAACATTTTATTTTACGGTCCCCTCCTGAGAACTAAAAAGAAAGGTAAAAGAAACATTTTCAACACTGACAATTCAGTAACAAAAAGTGACTTCCCAAAAGGCCGGAATTAAACGATTTATAAACACCCCCCGTTGTATTCATTGAATTCAATGATTTAAAGAGAGGGCAAAATGTCCTCTTTTTGGGTATAAATTGAGAGAAAGGGAAGACGAAATAATGGGTAAAAAATTGCTTTTACTCTTTTATAACATTTCAAAAGGTTAAGACAAAGCTTCCCGTCAGAAGCTCTCCCTAAACGCCGAAGGAGAATTGATGCATAATGGATGTTGCCTGAATATCCCCCCTTTCAATTCGACCTCCCTTTACCGTCCGTTCAACCTCATTTGAACAAATCGTTTGTGAAACATATTTAAATAGAGAAAAAAGGAAATTCGAAAATCCCTCCCAGAAACTTTCCTCAGGAGAGGAAAGAGAATCGGGCACTTTGGCTAATACGAAATTAGATACGGGGCATGTGGGGCTCGGCAATATCCGGTTACAACTCCGCCCTGTAATACATCAAAGGGTTGAGAATGTGTTTTTGTAAAATGCATTCTTCTTAAATCATCAGCAAACTACTAAAACGGCTGCTTGCAAGCAACAATTGTATGCTAATTGCTCACTGAGATCTCTTTAAACGTCCTGATCCATTACTTTGAATTTAATATTACACCAGAAATGATTTTTACAGGTAACATAACTGAGATTTCTATCTTATGACCTCAAAAAAAAATTAGTTTTTATCTTGGAGGACAATTTTTATGTTGAAGAACGAAACAGGAAGACTGTTACGAGAGAACAGGTAAACAGCAACGAAACAAAAACATGCTCCTATATTTACTTTTTATTTAACTGGTAAAGATAATTCATACTTTGTACAGTTGGCTGCAAATTGGATGCATCAGTAACCAATGCAAACATCTTCATCCTACATATCATCATGACATTGGCCCTTCCAAAGTCGCAACTCCACACAATGTACAATGGTGAAAGTAAACTGAATGAAAATATGGGAATATACTGCCTTTTTGTTCTGAAATCGTCAAATTAGTAAGTTTGTTGATTAGATAACTTTTGATTTAAAGATCAAGCAAAGCAAACAACCACGTTTAAGCCCAATGGAACCTGAAAGTATTACAGTTTATTCAGGCGAGCTTTCGTTGCAACTGATGTGAATTGTAACAACAGATCCAACCAGAAATGAAATTCCATATCTCAAAAATTCAAATATCAGGAAAAAGTATAGTGATATTAAAGTTTAAGTATTAATGAATCCTGTTACAAATAGCCAATACTGCATCATATCCAACACATTTTCACAGGAAGAACTAATTTCAAAATTGGGATAACTAACGGTGTGATGTGACAAAGGGAGATTTGACCAATTCGTACTTCCTAACTATCAAGACTAGTTGAACCGGGGGGGTGGGTCACTTACCGGGCCCGTGAATCGAACCCAGAACCGTGGGAAATATAAATCTGTCGCCCTAACCATTCGGCCACAGAATTCCCCATATTACTGCTGCAATTGTTTTTTATGAATTTGGTTCGGTTTTCTATAAGTGAGGTTTTATGCCAAATTGCAGAGTGAAATTGACGTATTTTCCCTCAAACTGTACATTTAATAACAATGCTAATTGAATTTATTTTAACATTATTGTGGCAAAAAGTACAATGAAAACATATATTTTCAATACATTTTATGGTTATGTTCTTAAAATTGCAATATATTTCAATCGAAACAATTGACAGAACAAACCAGGGACATAGGCAGAATAAAACGAACGGTTACGACAAAATTGCAAATTTATCAATTTTAATCTTTCAAACCACTGAGCACCAAAATATTTTGGATTATATTTTTTCCTAGCTTTTTCCATCCTGTTTTATAAAGTAAGGAACGTGAATTTCGTCTGGAAAAAGAACAAAGAGCTTTGCTATCAGAAAGGACGATTACAGTTGAAATAAAGCCGTCGGAAGCTGATAAAAAGGGGAAACAGGACATGGAAGATCTAAGTCAAACTAGCTTGACCGGGAAGCCGATTTTCGGTCCGAAGCCCTAGAAAGGATTGGAATTCTCGTGTGCGAGGGAGTCGAGGCGTTCGGAATAGGATTTGTCGGAATGTCCAACTGGAACTGGTTGCTCTCTCGGATATCAACGATGTAGAGGACGTTGACTTACTTGCATCCCGCAGAGCCAGCGAACTTAATGCCCGCTCTAAGATTTGTGTTTATTTTTTATTTCTCCATTTCATTGGATAGTACTTTACGTTTAAAACGAGAGAATTACAAGGCCAAGGATTTGATTAATGGTATAAATAGGTGTAATTACGAAGATTTGACTTAATCGCAATCCGGCTCTGCTCTGTTATTACTTCGTTAATATTTCGCCTACTGATTTTTTTTCTTCGATATATTTTTGTCATAATCAGGTCGCAAACATATTTTGGAATTAGGTTGTTTTTCATGAAATCGCTATATAATTATGATTTACGAGTAAAAATTTTAATCGACGATTGTTTCATATGTCTTAATTAAACTCAAAAACCTTCTCTGATTTGCTTTTTAAAAACTTTGAGTTTTCATTCGTTGAAAACGGTGTATTAAATCTATGGTCAATTGAATTTGTACAATTTTAGACTAAAATTCTACTACAAGAGAAGGGTACGCACGTAGGATCTGATTGAACGGTTTGTAAATGATAAGAGGTAAAATATTAACTGTATGAGCCGGAAAAAACAGATAATTAAGAAGTTATAATGTCTTTCGGTCTTTGTTAGGCATATATTTCAGGGGTTATTATATATCGGTCGATCCGTTTTTTCACGTAGGATAAACAAGTAAAATCAACGTAAGATTGTATTGAATGAGATAAGATATATAAAAAGTTACAAAAACCAACAGACGCTTCCTGTAAAGTGGGTCAAGAAATTAACAAAAAGAAACAATTAAGATTCATTTTAGCTGGAGTTTTATTACATTAAAAAACATTTTTGGGCTGGATTCACTAGTGGCAATTTTTTTTTCTCGCCCATTTCCAGTGTTCCCCTAAAAATTCATAATACCTCTGGATTTTATCCCAATTTAACTTAACCACAACCATTATGAAGGATAATTTCTCTCATTTCAGCTTTTGTCCCCAATGTCATGACTTTACATCATAAGTAAGAAAAATAAAGATGAAATCAACAAAAATTCCTCAAAAGTTTTATTTTACAATCCCAATTCTAATTTATTTACAGGGTCCAAATTTACGTTATTGCACAGTTGTAAAGTTTCCTGTGAATCGGTGGAGTCATATAAAAGTATGGGTGATTTTCGAGGAAAAAAAATCGATCTGATGCGGGGACAAACAAACAATCTGAAATCAAAATATTCTTTATTTTTCCAAAAATTTGCATTCAGGGTTTTATTGGAGTGCGGAAAACGAATGTCAAATTTGTTTCTTGCTAAAACAATAGTTAAAACCACGAAATTCGGCCTATCTGTTATACTACACTGCATAAGTTATTATTTTGGGACCGAGCGAAATAGCAAAATACGTCAAACTAGTTTTAACGACCTGTGCCTCCTTTGATAAGAAATTAAGAAATAAACTCACAGTCGAAATTATTTTCAGAAGGGACACTGAAAGAATAATAACAAGGCCCCATGCTCATAGTAACTGTAAAATCCTCAGAACTCATCTTTACTCATATTCAATTAATTAAGGTTTTTTAAGTTGAGATAAAAAATTCAGTGTCACGAGCGGGATTCGAACCCACGACGTTTAAAAACCTTAATTAATTGAATGTTATTAATTGGTCAAGCGGACCACGAAAAATAGTGAATTTAATGAATTGAAATGTAGTACACTTCACTAAAGCTCTCCTGGCCATTTCATTTGTCGCCGAGAATCCAATCCGATTACACGACATTTGAAAAATAGCAAAAAGGAGGGAAAATTGAAAAGGTGTGGTTGAGATGGGAAATTAGTGCCCGAGGGGATCGAGTTCCGATAGCTCAAGTGGTAGAGTAGCCGCGTATGAAGCCGAAGGTCGTGGGTTCGAATCCCGCTCGGAACACTTACTTTTTTTATCTCAACTTAAAAAACCTTAATTAATTGAATGTTATTAATTGGTCAAGCGGACCACGAAAAATAGTGAATTTACTAATATTTATAACGACATAACTGAAATCCAAAAGGATATAGCAATAAAATGATAATAATATGTGTATAATCATCATAATGTAAAATTACGTTCGAACTAAGTAAACAACCGTAAAAATTACATCCGAAAGTTAAAGCTAACCGAAATTAACTGTTTTATATATATATTTATTTTACGGACTTACTAAGTTTTATTTTTAAGTCGCTTGAAAGAATTAAAAAATAAATCCATTATCAAAATTATTTACAATAAAGAGAATACAAAAATAATTGCATTGAAAAAAAAACGGTAATACTAAAATAAAAACAATGCAAAGAAGAAAGCAAATAGAGAATTCTTACAAATCTATTGTTTGTACTTTTATCCTAGTGTGTAGAGATTATTATTTTATCCTAGTTTCTACACGCTCTTCGATTTTGAAAATGGTTAAAGGTTTAAAAATACAGATCCAAAGTCATACTATAAAATTAGCTTTGATAGAAGAATAAAAAAATTGAACAATTAGAAACTTGACCACTGTACTATACAGGTTTTATCTTCATCCACCCGTGCTTATAAGAGTGACAGAATTTTTTTTTTCTTCTTGAAAATTAAAAAACAACGTTCCGGCTAAGGCTGTTATATAAAACTATCCTAACAGCTTTTTCTCCGCCTAAATGATATTATCACTTATATTACATATAAGATAATGGTGGTGGGATCTCAGAGGGAGATAAAGTGAATATAAAATAAGACGGCGGGCTTACGACGACGCAGGGAATTTTGAAATGAAAATATTTGTTTTTCTGCCAGACAAGTCCCTATTTCGGTCTGTAAAATTATAAAATGATGAAAACTAAATAATATAAAAAATTAATTGCATGGGATTGCCTTAGGCCAAATTAGTAAAGATAATGTGTTTTTTTAAATTTCCTCCTTTTTCGGTATTTGGGTAGGTTTATTATATACTATTTATTTGTTAGTTTTTTATAATATATTCATGCTCTGAAAGCTATATGTTCGATGGTTTTCATAATTATTGTAATTGGAACAATAACGCCCACATGATTGGATACGTTACATTAGCAAAAGTGCCAAAACAGACCCTTCAAATGTAGTTAGTGGATAAGTACATTTTAATGATATACAAAAATACAAAAATAACAGTATAATAAAAACAAATGATCATACTTTTACAATAAACCGAAAGAATAATTTTATGTACGAGACAACAAGCTGATAAGAATATTTCAATCGAACAAAATTTACTGTTTACACCCGATCTTAAAAACGTTTTCTTATTCTTGTGACCACGGTACGATGGTAGTTAGAGCGTCCGATTCTGTTTACTATACTCAGGGTTCCGAGGGTTCTGGGTTGGAATCCCATCGTAGAGTCTGGAAATTTAACTGAGAATAATTTGAAAAATGTATTGCATAGTGGTTTCATCCTCGTTCGCGACACCCACCGGGGTCTAACCTCGGTCTTATCCGTCCGAGGTTGGGCTCCAGGTCCTATCAACAGTTTTTTTTTCAGCAACAACGCAATTAGTTCCTAAATCCAAACCTCACTCACTCTTAAATACATTATTTATTAACAAACCATTCACCCAGTTAACGTGGTGGAGTACTCGATAGTCTTTCATCACCCTTTGTATCTGTAATACAAGCTAACTCAATATTCCGAATAGATCCACTCACTCTGATGCTAATAAATACACTCTCAACACACCCTAGTGACATATCATTATTATATACAATAATCCTCCAAGAATTGGAACAGGGGATCTCCAGATACTTGCTGCCATGCTCATTCTCATATCGGGTAGCATTTCTAAGCGCTCTCTATATAGAGCCAAGGAATTGGACCATTCAGTTATGAGGGAGACATCGATCACCATTTCTCTGCATGCCGGTAACACACGGGGGCTTTAGTCCAAAATTAACTGTCCGTGTGACAACCTCGCATGGCCTATTCTTAATCGGGTGAGGAAGTCCCTTCTTCTAGGAGTCAGGTTCTCCGAGGGCCACCTATCGACAACGTTCTTTTTATCATGTTTTATTTGCATTTTTAGCGTCAGGGGGCCGGATCGAAGTGGTTAATTGCAGAGGTTGGGGGTGTCCTCTAAGCACAGAAACTAGGGAAATGTACAAAAATATATGCTTCTTTTCATGCAAATGTTTTCCCATTTTCTAGAATGATTTTTTACGTAGAAAAATAAACTATTTTCTACAATTTTTTGACACATGTACGAATAAAATTTACATATACAGGTTTACAACCTTCCATTACTTGGATATTGAATTATATTAACCTTTATTTTTTCATGAAATAAAACCATTATGTAGCTCGTTCGTAAATTATTTTTATTAATACAACGCTATTACTTTGTAAAAGGGTTAAAGCAAAGCCTCCCACCAGGAGAAAATTTAAATGGGCATTATCACAATCGTAAAATAGACGGTCTTAACGATGGCAATAAATGTTCTAAGATGGTTATTTTTACTACTTTACAAATCATTAATACTTTGTTGATGTCTTCGTTGAGTTTTACTCAAGGAGCTGTTTAAAATTTGTACATTAATAAGAGGTGGTCACTGAAATTATTTTGCTGCTAATGTGTACGAGCTAAGTTGAGAACATAATTGTATTACGAGCTTCCAATGTTCTCAAGTTGGTCGTTTTCTTTAAATTTACATTGTTTTAATACATAATTATTTTAAAACTATATGCATGTATATCTAGTTACATTGACTTTTCATTCAATAGTGCATAGAACACATGCATAAATCTAAATACATTGACGTTTTACTCAATAGTACGTAGAACACATGCATTAATGCAGGATAGAAATTTTCTTTTTTTATGAATTGTTTACAAATAAGAAAAAGATAGTTGCAATAATTCACCTTTTATTAGTATTTGGTTAATTATATGTGTATAAATTGTATATCTACTACTATATTATCTACGAAATAAATAATACCAGCCTTTTATATTGTAATTTTATATTGAAAAAGGATATCTTTACTAATTTAAGTTTTTTTAAATATTTCAACCGTTTTGCATGTATTTCAAGGTTATCAATCAATTTGTTCATGTGTGAGGTACATACTCAACTACCCGAGGAATATCGTGTATTCTTGGGTAGTGTGAACGAAGTCTCGTATGTGAATGTAATTTATTAACTGTATGGAGAGGCCCAAATACCCTGAGGAATTCGAGTACTCTGGGGTGTGAATGCTAACCATATTATTATGTTTTTACATCGTTTCTGTGTATTAGTGCATTTGTGTCCACAATTGACGTGACACTGAAATAAATAAAGGCTAGAAATAGGATAAAGAAAATAGAGTTGGTTAGCGTTTTATCATAAAACGTCATAACTTGGTTGGAGAAACATTAAAAGAAATTAAAAGGTTTGAAATGCGAGAAAGATAAGAAATGAAATGCAAAAGCTAAGAAAGATAGGGCTAGCGATGACCAATGCAGTTTGACCCTAAAACTTAAAGAAATCATATCAAATGAGACTAAAAATATAAAAAGTTACAATAACAAAAAGACCCTATGAGTACACTAGGTTTAAATTTCGAATACGTCGTTGTAAGCACCGTTGAAAAATATTAGATATGAATTTTCATTGGAAACAAAAAATTAAACTTTTTAGGCAAGATTAGGTATATATTACATATCTCTGATGTCCAATTTTCAACTTAAAAATGTATAACTAAAACAAAAACTAGATTATTCTTCTTCCAGTCTTGTTAACAACATTTGAATTTTCTTTCATTACAAGTGTGAAAAGAAGGATAAAATCAAAACATCTCCAATTTTTATTTTATATCTTCGGTTCTAATTTATTTAATGGGCCCAAAGTTATGCCAATATGTAGTATAAAAGGTCTAAATTCCTGTAAAGTTTCCGTTTCCAATTTATCTCAATTTTTTTGATTTACGAAAATATCGGAGGCTTTCGAGGGGGATTTTTTTTAGGGAAAAATTTTTTTTTTGTTTTTCCCAAAATGTGTATTCAGGTGTTTTTGAGTGTAAAAACCAATATCGACTTAGTTTTTTGTTAAAAAATAATATTTTAACCTACTGCAACATCACTCGAGTGTTTACTACGAGAAAATTGTATTTGGCAGCTAGCCATGGGTATCGTAGATATTGAAATTCAAAACTTATGACCATCGAACTTACTTTCACTCTTGTCTCTATTTGTATTTTTTCTCCAGTAAAACACAGTAAGGAACCTGGTCCAACCTGGTGTCGAAGGAATGATATCGCAGGACGAAAAAATTACATTTAATACAGTCATCAAGGAATGGCTCCAAAAGTACAGTGATAGCAAATGAATCGATATGTCATATTTATTTAGATACAGATTACCAATGTTGGTTTTTAAAAAAATCGTAATTCGTGGTTTCCTACGATGAAAAGAAGGTAAACAATATTTCAACAATCAATTAGAATTGAGTCAAACTTTGAATTTTTGTTAGCATTCTTACTGATTTAAACAAAAATAAAGTTGTTAAAAATATTGAAATAGCTTTTATCAAGGCCATGTAGTCAAAATATTGTGATAGTAATTATATTGATTAGAATATATGAACTTAAAAAGATCTTTATTTTACGCTTTGGTGGTGATAAATATCGAAAATGAAGGAAGCGTTTTTGTTTTTTTTCAGATAGGTTCTAAATTTACATTACGACTCGTAAAGCTGCTGGGACATTTCGCCGGGAGTAATCGTTTGGCTTGTAGTTTCACCCAAGCCAAGTTTAATGGCCAGCACTCCTGTGATTTACAACTTGAGTTGATTTAACCCTTTTAAAAGAGCTATTTATGGAATTATAGCCTAGAAGTGTAGTAGTGTAGTCAGGGCGAAGGTATATTGTAACATTTTCCCAGTGGGTTACAAAAAAATTAAAATAGAA